GGGGGATCTGGGGCCATGGGGCGGGGCTGGGGCTGGGGCTGGGGTGGGGGGTGTGGGGCTGATTCAGGGGGACCTGGGGCTGCGGGTGGCGTGGGCCCGATTCAGGGGGATCTGGGGCTGGGGGGGCCGTGGGGCTGGGCTGAAGCTGAAGGTGGAGTGGGGCCGATTCAGGGGGATCTGGGGCTGGGGGCGGGCATGGGGCCATGGGGCTGGGCTGAAGCTGGGGGTGGGGTGGGGCCGATTCAGGGGGATCTGGGGCTGGGAGGGCCCATAGGGCCGATTCAGGGGGACCTGGACGGGGCCCTGTCGGCCCCTCACTCACCTTCTGCCCCTCTTTCTGCCCCCCAGGAGTGCCTGGAAAAATTCTCCGACAGCCTCAACCAAATGATTGACAACCAAGTGGTGAGAGATGCCCCCCTACTCGCCCCCAGGCCCTGCCCCCCAACACCTCTGACTCCTCCCCCTCCCAGCTGGCCCCCCACCTCCATCCTGCTCTAGGCTTCTCTGCCCCCATCTCTGCCCCCTTCCCCCTGGGGGCCCCCTCTTCCCCTCCCACCTGCCCTGGTCCAGCCCCCACCTCCTTGGGACCCCATTCCCCAATGCCCCCCCCCAGCACCTTTACTGATTTGGAGGTGTGGGGGTGAACCCCAAGAAGTGTCATCCGGCTTGATCTCTCCCAGGGCCCCCCAACTATCTCAGACCTCCTCTCCCTCCCCCTGGGGTTTCCCCCCAATCTCTGACCCCCTCTACCTCTCCCTGGGGGGTTCCCCCCAATCTGACCCCCTCCTTCCTCTCTCCCCAGGCCCCCCCATCTCTGACCCCCTTCTTCCTCTCTCTGGGGGTTCCCCCAATCTCTGACCCCCCTCCCTCCTCTCTCCCCAGGCCCCCGCAATCTCTGATCCCCTCCTTCCTCTCTCTGGGGGTTCCCCCCAATCTCTGACCCCCTCTACCTCCCGCTGGGGGGTTTCCCCCCAATCTCTGATCCCCCTCCTTCCTCTCTCCTCAGTCCCCCCAATCTCTCACCGCTGAGCCCCCCAATCTCTGACCCCCCCTTTCCCGGCTCGTTGCAGGAGCTTCTGGACAGCACCCAGCACTCATCCCGGCAGCACATCTATACCCTGGTGAAAGAGTGAGTTTGGGGGGGCAGAGGGGGCAGGAGGATGGGGGGGCTTCCCAGGGGTATCTGGGAGGGACAGTTTGGGGGGCAGGGTAGATGGTTAGGGCTGTGTGTGGGGGTGTGAGAGGTTGGAAACAGATGAAGGGGGGCGTTGTGGGGGTGCCCTGGTGATGGGGGGGCTGGGTGGATTTAGGATGAGGCGTCTGGAGTGGGGGGGAGGGGGCTGGATTTGGGGTTGGGGGTGGGGAGGCAGGCTGGGTGCTGGGGAGGTTGGATGGAGGTGGGGGCACCGATTCTGGGTTAGGGGGGCAGCGAGGAGCTGGGTTTGGGGGGGCTGGGTTTGAGAGGGCTGGTTTTGGGGTCCCCCTGACCCACCCGCTGTCCCAGGGACGTAAAGCGGTTCAAGGAGGCGCAGAAGGAGTTTGAGGGGGCAGCAAGGGGCCGGGTTTGGGGGGGGCTGGTTTTGGGGTCTCCCTGACCCCTTGCTGTCCCAGGGACGTGAAGCGGTTCAAGGAGGCACGGAAGGAGTTCGAGCGGGGAAGTGAGGGGCTGGCCAGCGCCCTGCACCACAACGCCGAGGTGCCGCGCCGGAAGCAGCACGAGGCAGAGGAGGCCGCCCTGGCCCTGCAGGCTGCCCGCACCAGCGCCCGCGCCCGCGCCCTCGACTACGTCCTCCAGGTGGGCACCGGCGCACGAGTGTGTCTGGGATCGGTTGTGTTGGAAACGGTCCCTGGCGGATCTGGTCAGCACCACCGACCAGGTGGTTGAGTGTCCGGTCAGCGACCCGGCAGGCTCCCAGGAACCAGCCGCCACGTCCCACCTCCAGCTCCTACGCGGAGGGGCAGCCAGGGGGCTCCATGCGCTGGCCCCGCCCCAAGTGCCACCCCTGCAGCTCCCATTGGCCAGGAACCGCAGCCAATGGGAGCTGCGGGGGCGGCGCCTGTGGAGGGGGCAGTGCGCAGAGCTGCTTGGCTGCCCCTCCGCATAGGAGCCGGAGGAGGGACGTGCTGGCTGCTTCCGGGAGCCGCTTAAGGTAAGCGCCGCCCGGAGCCTGCCCCCCAACACCCTCCTGCACCCCGAACCCCTGCCCCAGCCCTGATCCCCCTCCCACCCTCCGAACCCCTCAATCCCAGCCCGGAGCACCCTCCTGCACCCCCAACTCCTCATCCCCAGCCTCCACCCGCAACCGGAGCCCTCAGCCCCCCCTGCACTCCAATCCCCTGCCCCAGCCCGGTGAAAATGATCAAGTGAGGGAGGGTGGCGCAAGCGAGCGAGGGGGCGGTGCCCCGGGAAGGGGCGGGGCCTGGGCGGGGTCTTGGAGGAGGGCGGGGCCAGGGTGTTGGGTTTTGTGTGCCTAGTCTGGGACTGGTGGGGTTGTGGGGGGCCGGAAAGGGAGAGGGGCCCGGGCTGTCGCGGGATCTAGGGGGCAGGGAAGGGAGAGGGGCCTGGGGTGTGGGGGGAACTGGGGGGCAGATAAAAGGGAGGGGCCTGGGGAGGGGGGAATCTGGGGAGCAGGGAAGGCAGAGGGGCCAAGGTGGGGGGGCCCTGGGGGATCTGGGGGAAGGGGGAGAGGTCTGGGGTGGGAGGTATCTGGGGAGCAGAGAGCCCTGGGATGGGGCTGGAACTGGGGGAGCAGGCGACGGGTTGGTGTCTCTGGAACTGGGGGCTTCCTAGGACTGGAGGGGGAGGGGCGAGGGGGCTGGTTCCCGGGCTGGGAGTGGAGAGCTGGGGGGGGGATCAGCCCCCCCCTTGTTTGCTCCAGAATTAACCCACTGACTTGCCCCCTCCCCCCTCCGCCCCCCAGATCAACG